ATGTGGAGTAGGAAGGGGAGAGAATAATCTTGCATGCCCTCTTTTGCACTTTTTCTAGGTGTTTATGTTGTGTGCCATTAAGGGAGGAAGACCAGGTACGGGAGGCATAGGTGAGCTTGGGAAGTATGAATGTTGAGTAAACACTGAGGAGCTCGGGTGCAGGAGCTCCGAAAGACTTGAGTTGGCGGAGGAGGAGGTGGACGGAAACTGGAGGGTCATGCTGTGTGTGTGTGTGTGTGTGTGTGTGTCAGCCTGTGTATGTAATTAATAATGACATTGTTTAATTGAAGGTGATGGTAGTTTATCTTATGAACCATCCATCTGATGGTGTGAATTATTGTGGTAGCATACGCCTAATGCTTTTAGAAGCCTTTATCTAGCAATATCATTGTCATTCTAAGACTTTGAATATTGCTCGACGGTATGTATTTATTAATTTATTTTTTTACGAGGATTAGCACCGCACAGGTCACTGACCCACAATGGGGATGCTGAAGGCGGCCTAGATTTCTGTGGAAGAGTAATATTCGCTGACGGAAAACCTTTTTCATCTACCTCTCACGGAAGGTTGCGGTGATGGAGGAAGAATACCACCTGATATGCTAGACAGCATATTCATGAGGAAGCAAGGAGTGGCCATGTGGCTTGCAATGTTTGGGGATGGATATATTTGCATAGAAGGAAGATTCACAGCTGAACAGTATTTACAAATACTCTTAGAAGTTATGCTTCCCTCGGTGCATGCATATGCTTTCCCGTTTCCCGAAAACATAATTTTCATGCACGATAGGTGTCCTATCAATACTGCATGGATTGTAAAGTGGTCGTTAGCAGTCCAAAGAAAATTTGCCAGTTTTAGACTGGACAAGTTAGGGTTGTGACATGAACCCCATAGAGAACGTTTGGGCCAATATTGTGAATGTGTGGGTGCCAGCTGAAGAGAGAACCAGGGTGCAGCTACAGGAGCATACACACCGTGAGTGGGAGGTGCCAAGGTGGAAACCACAACTGATACACAATTACGTCGCCTCCGTTCCCAACAGGCTGCAGCAAGTAATCGAGAATGAAGGTGGCTGGACTAAATATTAATGAGTCAGAAATAATTTTCCTATGTAATGATTGTTACATACTGAGTGCAATCGATATTCATTTCTTCTATGTTAACTGAAATAAATATAATTTTCATGAATATGTCAAATTGTATAACAAATGTAAAGAAAACAATCCTCTTCTAATATCCTCACTTATGCAGTATGTATACAGGATGATTTAAGTCAAACAAATCATAACATTATGGTTATAATTATTATGAAAGAGTACCATATACAACCACAGAAAAAATCAGAGGGTGACGGAGACGAAGAAACAACTGTATAACGACACAATTCCTACAATATGTAATGGTCTGATCACAGCTGTCTGATCCGGCTCAAGGCACTTGTGTGCGAGGAAATTGATCTTTTATTTCATTCTTATAATCTCATATTTAATAAGTTCATGTCATGCCGTTCACAATATAATATATTTATGTATTCCTGGAAAATGTTTACTGTAATTATTGTATTTGTATATATTTTCTCTTTTCATTTATTAGTAAGAAGTGGGAAGAAATCCTTGCCAAAATACCAAACTATATTACAATGTTACCCCAAAATTATTTCATAACTTACCCTGTATAATGCTCAAACACTCATGCACACTTGCATAGACACATACAAATATGCCTGCGCTCGTGAAGAAAGTTGATCTCAATGGTGTCCCTTGCCGGTTTTATTAATTACATAAAAATATTACATTAATTAGCGAAATCTCGTACTGAAGGTGCAGCTAATGCAGTAGCATATGTAATGTATTCCTGTAGACCTTTCAACTGCCATTGCGATTGTCATCCGAGTAGACTTAGCTTACTATATATTTCAAATGACATTTATTTCGATAATTGATTGTTTGCCCGTAAAAAACCTTTTTTCAACTGGTTCATCACAGGATCGCATTGGAATGTCTTTCCTTTTGTAAAAAATGTGTAGTATCCATTTCATGAAATATAATTTAAACATAACTAAATACATGAATAAATAAAACGAAAGCTAAGGTGCTCCGTTGTTTCCCTTTTCCCGTGTGATTATATATATATATATATATATATATATATATATATATATATATATATATATATATATATATATATATATATATATATATATATATATATATATATATATATACAGGAAAGAAAACCTGTGAAGTTCCCAGCGCTTTTCGTGTAATTCATCAGGGGTGAGTACAGACTAAGAGAGTAATACAAATCAAGGTGTATATATACAGAGGGTGAGACAGATCTCACCTACTCTGATATATATATATATATATATATATATATATATATATATATATATATATATATATATATATATATAACCCGACTTACGACGGGGTTAGGGACCCAAATCCAGGTCATGTCCATGGTCGTAAGTCCGATATACTGTAAAAAAAAAAAAAAAAAAAAAAAAAAAAAAAAAATTAATAAAAATCTACAATGAAATACAGTACAGTAAAAGTAATGAATAATGATGAATGGATACAGTACAGTGAAAGTAATAAATAATAAGGAATGGATACAGTGTGACTGAGCACTTAACCTTTAATGTAGTCAGCTGAATGCACATAGGGCCCCATAATTTTCTAATTATACATGGAGACTACATTAACTGGAAACGTTTCGGTATAGAAAATGCTTGTGTCATTTAAAAAAAAAAAAAAAAATATCTATATCTGAGGCGGTGTAATTCCCGGCAGAATAAGTCAAAATTAAATGAAAGTCTAGGTGTGTGTATATATATATATATATATATATATATATATATATATATATATATATATATATATATATATATATATATATATATATAAGTACCTGTATATCCTATTTCCAATGCCTCACAGGGAATGTAAAAAATAAATACAGTGGGGTATGCTATAACGAATCTAATTGGTTCTAGAACCTTGTTCGTTATAGCATTAGTTTGTTATAGGATTAATCCGTTCCAGGCCCCCAAATACAACCATAACACTGAAAAATATAATATAAAAATTAAAAATTGTAAAAAGTGCATAAATATGCATCTAAACCCCTGAAATAAAGAATATAATTAATATTTGTAATAATAAAACAATAAATTAGAAAAAAAAATTAAATTATGTTAGATTTGTATTAGTATAGCATTCTCAATTTTATCGGGATATTGCTAAACATAGTTGTTATCAACAACAAGAGCGTCAGGCGCCATCTTTGTCTCATTGTGTAGCCAGTGCACCACTGTTATTGTTGAAATTTCGTCTTTCGATGTGGAAATTCGCGTTATTTGTATAACTATTTTGTTATACAAGTATTTTGTTACACAAGTATACAATTGTAACAATGAGTCGTCCAAAGCGAGTGAGAAAGCTAATAACCCTTGAAACTAAGAAAGAAATTATAAAGAAACGTGAGAATGGAAGAAGCATTGCGAAACTTAGTGATGAATATGGGATGGCTAAATCGACTATATGTACGATTTTGAAGAATAAAGAGGAGTTAAAAACTGTGCAAGTGGCTAAGGGAATCTTTAGACTTAGCAAAGCAAGGTGTAATGTGATTGAAGAGATGGAAAATTTACTCTTAGTGTGGATAAAGGAGAAAGAAATGGCAGGTGGTAACATTAGTGAAGTTATAATTTGTGAGAAGGCTAAACAATTGTTTGAGGACCTTAAAGCCAAGACTCCCAGTGGAAGTGATAGTGATGTGCCAGTGTTTAGGGGTACCTGCATGCTGAATAACACTAAGGTAAGATAAAGTACCGTATTTTTTACATTTTCCACAGAATTTTTTCAGTGTTAAGCGGTTGTATTTGGGGGCCTGGAACGGATTAATCCTATAACGAACGAGGTTCTGGAACCAATTACGTTCGTTATAGCATACCCCACTGTAGTAGGATCCGTTCGTTATAGCATACCCCACTGTAATTTCATTAACCCTTAAGCCCTGGGTCAGGGTGCTGCTGGCAGTAACCCCCCCCGCGTGACAAAAATCCTAAAAAAAAAAAAAAAAAAAAGTGGCGGGAATAGGCGGACGCTCTGTGAACATCACCCAGGGCTCGCTGGTCCGACGTTCTGGAACGTCACCCGGGGCCTAAGGGTTAAATAAACTTCATAATACTGTTTCATTTATACAACTGTTTTTTTACACACACACGCGCGCACACACACACTTACGACAGGTAGCAGTGAACCAATGATTCTGTTTAATCCCACAGCGAATTAAAACAGCAGTTTGCATTGTATGAAATCAGCGTCTTTAAAAAGAAATCTGTTTAACATTGGTTCCATACGACTTTATTAATTACCCAAAAGGGATTAGACGTTTGAAGATAATATTAGAATAAATTAATGATAAACAAGCAACCTCATAAACAACCTGCACACAGCTATGCCCGATGCATGATGTTCTTTAACATACTTACCGATTTTTACTGATGTTTAATTATCTGAACATGAATTCATATAAGTTGGCCAATTGCTCTATCCATTTTAATATCAAATTAACAGTATATACCAGCAGAAAAGTCTAATATAATACGAAACAACAAAGACCAACAATTAATTTAGCAACGGGGAACTATGTAACCAATCACCGATCACTTTTACATTCATTCATAATTTTTACTGCGCACTATAGTAAAAAAAAAAGGCCTTGAGTTGCCAGCTGTCTCCAGCAGTGTTCGAAGAATCTTGAACGAGACTGTACATTGAATAAGCAAAAAATTATTTATGTGCAAAAGGACAAATTGTTGGGTGACAACCATCATCATAACTCATAGTTATCTTAAGGATATAGGAAAAAATTAAGAAAACTGATAAAAAAATGTCCACCCATGTCGTCTCCAGAAACATTGGACATATAAAACTAAATTTACACTTGATTACAGATAACAATATATTGTTGGTATAGATAAGACACCCACCTGTTATTCCATATACTTTTGAAGAGATCTAAAGATTCCCGTAGCCTGTTTTGACTGGGGTCTTCTCGTAGGACCATGTTGTACGAAGAGCAGGCGGTGACAAAAATAATGGCTGTGACGTCATTGAAGCATTGGATCCATTTCCTCCTCTCGTCTCGCTGTCCACCCACATCAAACATACTGCAAGAGAAAGACATATCAACAAACACTTGATGTGCCTTTACACTACACCAGAGAATACAGAAACCACAGCACATCATGTGTGTTGCCATATTTGACCTTCACATCTCACAATAAGATACAGTACAAACTATACAAACTGGGTACCAGAGTACAGTACAGTAAAAGTCCAAAAATTCGGATGCCAGAAATCCGGACCACCTGAGAATCCGGACTTTTCGAAAACTCAAGCTTAACTTTTTTTTTTTTTAGCTGGCTTTTGTGTGCATGCGTGAGCGCCACAGCTGCACAGCGACCACACGGTCGCTACTTTAAAACGAGCAATCAAACTGTGACAACGTATGTAATTTTGAATCCTACTCATTCCATTTACAGAGTACTGTACAAGCCCATAATAATGGCTCCTAAAGTAGATAAACTTCGTTGTGTGAAGAGAAAGAAGAACACTTTGAAATTGAGTGACAAACTTGAAATAATTAAGACACTAGAACGTGGTGTGAGCAATACTGTTCTAATGGAAACATATAACATTGGAAAGTCTACAGCTTTATCTTTAAAACTGCTCTTTTAGATAAATAAAGCATGCTATATTTGCTAATGAATAAACTAACAAAATGTACCTGTTCATCTCTTCTTATTTCTCCTGAAATTTGAATTTTAAAAGTACTGCCTGAGAATCCGGAAAATCCGAAAATCCGGACCGACCCAATCCCCAAGCAGTCCGGATTTTTGGACTTATACTGTACTTCGTTTCATCAAAATATTTCTACCATTGTAAGAGTTGGAATCTTGACAGGGAAAAGGATATGGAAACTTAGACAATAGTGCCATACTATAATACTGTACATTATTCTTCACCAAGCATGTAACAGATAAAACAAAGTACAATAACTGTCTAATTACCAGTACAGTACCATCTTTATAACATAAAATTATAATTTTGAATTCAAATAATGAGTCTTTCTAATGTTAATCCTGTATAAGATTATTTAAATAGTCATTTTATTTTACTTTGTCATCTATACTGCATATCCTTTGGTTTAATGAAGTGGAGTTCCCATATTGATATACAGTATCTAAATGAACTAGAGAGTATTAGGATCTAGTCTCTAAAATCATCTAACTCTTGAATAAACTCTCAACATTTTGGATAAGCAGGTATTGTATCACATCATGTATATATACAGTACATTCACTAACATGGAATAAGGACATCTTTTGACATACTCTACTGCAGCTGCAGCTCCTCTACACCAAGAAAAAATGCAAGGATTTTCAATCCACGACTGATACGAAAGTGACAATTTCAACTAAAAAATGGACGGAAAGCAGTGAGGGACAGTGACTACATTTGACGGGTAAATGCCCAGTGGTAAACAAGGGTTTGTGGCTGACATTTCATGCCCACGTATGTAATAGGGATTTCCACCAAGGGTCGCCCTCACCCTATTAAGCAGCAATTCTCAAATTTTTTCAGCTTTTTACCCATTTGTTGCCTTCTTCAGATCTTTGTTACTCACTGTCACGCCATTCCACAGAATTTTTTTTTGCATATCATCATTAGATATATTGATTCCTCACCTTAATAAATTGAACTGATTTTGAAAATTGGGAATTATTTAAAAAGTAATAAATTTTATATGAAATTTTTACCGATTGTCGTGCCAGTCGAGTTGTTATCAAGCTGGGTCGAGTAGCATGATATATGACCGGGAACCAATTTTTCCCTGTTCCCTTACTTAACAATGGGAGAATTGCCTTTTACAGCTTTCAATAACCTTGAAACTTTGTGGTATACTGAACTTTTTAGTATACCACCAGAAATCTTGATGTGGTGCCTTATCAAGTTGAATTAAGGAGTTATTATTAAAATTACTATAAAGTGAGAGTGTTGCAGTGCTACTATAAACCACCCATCAAGAGGCACTCAGGACACTGGCCCTCTCAGCTCGCTCTGATAATCATTATGTCTCAGCTACCAGTCTGGGAACAGAGCTGCTATACCATCCTCACCACCAGCCATCTTAGAGCAGATCCCATCCACCTGCAGCTGTCCAACACCACTGCTGTATCAGGTCAACAAGACCAGCCACCCTTCTGTAGTGTTTGTAACAATGTATATTCACCTCATGTTTTCTCCTCTTTTTGTAATGAAAGCTTTTGTAATATGACTCACTCCCCAATGTCACCACCATAAGTAATCGGAGTCATCTCTGTACTTTGTGAATTTCCAGCCTTTTGCTGTTATTTTCTCTCAATAAACCATGAACTATTATTATTATTATACCTGTACTATTATCATTACTATATGCATGCAAATACATATCCATGTACTGTACAGGTATACACCCGTGAATGTTTATTTGAGCACATATATGCATCTGTGAATGCATGGGTATGTGTAAAGACAAAAGTACATATGGGTGTGTACTTGTGTGAAAATGTGTACGTGGAAATATCTAGTGTATTTGTGTATGCAAGTGTGCATTTACGGGAAAACATGTCACTAAATACATTATATTTATGTGAATGCATGTACATGAGCATTGTGTGTGAGTGTGTGTAACAAGGGAGACCGGTCAGACTGTGGCAACTACTGTGGGATCTCGCTGCTATCCGTAGCTGGCAAGATTATTGCCAGAGTCCTCCTAAATAGACTTCTCCCTGAGGTGGAAAACTTCCTGCCAGAATCTCAAAGTGGCATTAGACCATCACGTGGCACCACTGACATGATCTTTGCTGCCCGTCAGATACAGGAAAAGTGCAGAGAACAGTGTCGTGACCTGTACATTGCTTTCATAGCCCGAACCAAGGCCTTCGACTCGGTCAACAGGGAAGCCCTCTGGTGGACCCTCAGCCATTTTGGCTGCCCACCAAAATTCATCGCCATTGTAAGGCAACTCCACGATGGCATGAACGGCAGTGTCCTGCTCAATGGCACCCAGTTTGAGTTCTTACCCATCCGAACAGGGGTTAAAGAAAGGTGTGTACTGGCACCAACTCTCTTTTCCTTACTCATGCCAGTGCCAATTTCGCTGGCGGGGTGGACATCGAGTACTGGATGAAGGGTCTTTTCAACAAGATGATTCCAGGCAGAAACAAAGGTATTGGCAGCTTCCATTACTGAGCTTCAGTATGCAGACGACCTCACCCTCGTCGCTCACACTGAACGCAACCTACAGGAGATCCTGAACACCTATGCCAGGGGTGTCAAACTCATGCCCCGCAGGCCAAATGTGGCCTTTGGGATGGTCAGGTGCGGCCCGCAGGTTGACGGTAAAATTTATCAGCCTGTGAAATTATGATAGAAATAGATATGAAGGAAAAAATGCAGATATGAATGATTCAGTAAATTCCAAAATGATCTTTACATCATTGAGGCAATAATTAAATTTATAATGTTAATGCTAGTAATAACACCATTGTAAAGGGAAAATGCTTATATATCAAAATCATTAGAGAATTAAAAGATGAAGTCGCAGCCATACTAGCATCTGAACAAAGGCAGCAGCCAAACGTTGCAACACTAGGCTAAGCAGATAAGGAGAACCAGTATATGCTGTTGGACCCTATCCACTTCTTTGGATAAATTGGGAGTGATACAGTAGGCTCTCATATTTGGACACCTGTTTAGACTGTAAAATCCTCGCGAAATTTAAATCGTCCAAATTTAAATACAACTTCCCATGGAGAAAATTAATTTGAGTCTGGTACTTTCGATATTTGGCTAAATTTTGCCTTATTTACCCTACTTTTTGGGCGAATTAATACCTGTAATAAAGCAACATCCTAATAAACCAACGATAATAACACAGATAAAGTTAAATAATAACTAAAAACAACACAGAAAAGTTCTTATGTTCTACAGCTTCAGCTAGAGTTGAACCTGATGACTTGGCAACTTCGTCATTTTCGTTTTAAATTCAGAAACATTAATTAAAACATATATGAACAATAAATAAGTGTTGCTTTCATATTCTTATGTAGAGGAATGATGAAATGTTTTCACATGTGCGCACTTACATACGCGCAGTCTCACTTTTTTCCTTTACCATTAATGGTTAGCTACTTCTATTGTTCCATTTATTAAAATTAAATAACATTACTGTACTTAAAACAATCATATTAATTTTTTTACATTAATTTTACTACAGCTACAACCGGGTTCTTATTTTCTTCAGTTTTATATGTAGAACCAGTCAGTCACTGGTTTTGTAAACATTAACGAAAACAATGCTGTCTCGTCTCCTCGTGTGTGTTAATATTCTACGTATTATTAATGAATTGTATTCTTCATTTTGCACACTCAAACCTGTCGAAATTTGAGTTTCCGCCGCCAAAATTTGAAATTGTGTATTTTTTTTTCCAAATAAAAAACGTTGAATTAAAAACTCGCGAAATTTGAGAACCTACTGCACTTCGATTTTTAATCACTCAGTTATCTATAGCTCTGACTAACTATATGTAGAATTGATGTGCAGTTAATCCTTTGTACAAAACATACAGTAACTGTCACAAGAAGATTGAGCTCTTAAGCTTCAAAACACAAATGGAATTCTACAATAAATTGAAGCCCCAAAACAATGCATATACAGTATATGCCTTTTGTTATCCTATCATTAGCGTTAATCATGTTTAATAAGTAAAATGAATTTTACATACTTTAGATCAGACAAACCCAAATGAGGTATTCCTGGCAAGCCAGGTAAGGCAATGCGTGAAGCTGTAAACTTCAATCCTGCTGATATGTGACATAACATTTGTGTTGGCCCTGAAGAGGGTAATTAAAATAAGAATTAGCCCTCAAAAGCTTTTGAGTTTGACACCAATGACCTACGCAGATGCGTATGCACACTTCGGCCTTGAGGTGAATGTACTTAAGATTCAGATTCTCTTTCACCCTGCCCCTGGTTCAGCAACACTTCCACCATCCATCCAGCTTAACGGTACCATCCTCTCTAATGTTACCTACTTTCCGGTATCTTCACCACCGCGGACATCGATGAAGAGATTCAGCATCGGATCAGATGTGCATCTCAAGCCTTTGGCAGACTCCGAAACCGTGTCTTCAGCTGTAGGGAGCTGAAATTATCTACAAAGTTACATGTATATCGAGCAGTGGTCCTCCTCACCCTGCTATATTGCAGTGAGACATGGGTTACAGACAGGAGGCACCTCAAGGCACTTGAAAACTTTCACCAAAAGAGTCTACATTCCATCCTCTAAGTTTGCTGGGAAGACAAGAGAACAAATGTCAGTATTCTTGCTGACACCAACTGTAGGAGCATCGAGGCTACCATTATCCATGACCAACTACGCTGGACTGGCCATGTTACCCGCATGGACGACAGAAGACTGCCAAAGCAGCTACTTTACAGTCACCTAATGGATAGTAAATGTAATGCTGGCGGGCAACTGAAAAAGGTATAAGGATAGTCTTAAGACAAACCTAAAAAAGTGCCAAATCGACCCCCTCACCTGGGAGACAATTACTCCACACTGTAACACTTGGAGGAGCACCACACGAGAAGGTGTCAATACTTTCGAGTTAGCCCAACTGCAACCCAAGGCAGACAAGCGCCAACGCCGGAAAGACGCTGCCACCGCCGCTCCCGCATTAGATGCAAAAAATGTGGACAACCCTGGGGTCCCGTATCGCCCTCTTTAGTTACCTCAAAACTCACCAACCAAGGTGACACCCATAATAACTCATACCATTATATCATAGCTGGATGATCGTCATAGTCGATTCCGAGTAACAGCCAAGAAGTGGAGTAGAGTAGTGACCCTTATATCATAGCTGGATGATCGTCATAGTCGATTCCGAGTAACAGCCAAGAAGTAGAGTGAGTGAGTGAGTGAGTGAGTGAGTGAGTGAGCGAGCGAGCGAGCGAGCGAGCGTGCATGCGTGCGTGCGTGCGTGTGTGTGGAGGGGAATCAATTTAAACCTTTGTACTGTGTAAAGACCATATCTCTTAACCACTGGCAGCAGAAACTATGGGGTGCTGGTTAGTGAAGAAAGTCAGTAAATCAACAATATTCAATTGAATTAAAAAGGGTCGTGATTTGGTTAACTCCTTTGCTACCAATGATATAAAATTAATTACAGTATAGTACAACCTTTAGGGATTATAACGGTACACCAGGATGAGCCATTCCTTCCCGACATTTCAAAGTTCTCTCCCTGACATAACAAGATTATTTGCGATTGGTAATGTATTTGACGATCTGGAGCACCTCTTCAAACACTTCAGTGGAAGGCTATTACCACTGATAAAGGAAGACTGGCTATGAAAATGACGATCACTAAGATAGTGAGCTTATAGAAGGCAGTACCCCCCGTGCAGGGATAAATCGAGAAAAAATAAACTTTTCCCCCCACAAAATAATAAATAAATGAATAAAAAAAAGTGGAGGAATAGGCGGACGTTCTGGAACGTCAACAGGGGCGCGCTGGTCGGACGTTCAGGAACGTCACCTGGGGGCTAAGGGTTAGGGCACACTTCAGTGACCGCACTTTCCTACTGGTAAATCACACAGAGTTAGTTCTGCTGGGATCAGTCAATGGAGAAGATGTAAGTTCAGTAAACCAGACGAGATTCACAATGCTTATGAGGGAGATATCAACTTTAGCAGATTGCAGTACCAGCTGAAAATGCTTCCTGACATAAAGGATCAGGTGGGAGTACACCAAGAAAGTGAAGGAGATAGTTCATCTTTTCAGAAAAACACCTGTCTTGTCTAGCAAGGTATGCACGCTGACAAAGTTATTTTATACCATGCCAGTGATGACTGTGATGGCAGAACACACATTTATTGCCTTACAGCGCCTTAAAACATATCTATGGTCAACGATGGGCCAAGCACAACGTCGCTCTGGCACACTTTGACCAAAGACAGGTTAGTCAAGATGTACCTAAAGTCCATGCCTGATGCATTCATTTAAAATAATAATCATCGACTGACCAATTATGGAAAGATGAGTATGTCAACAAGTCAACAGACAACCACACAGGGACTGCCATCAAATGGGCTGTTTGGGCCATATGATGATTGCTGTGTTAATTAAAAGCAGAACTCTTTACCCCCAGTGTTTTGTAGATGATGAATTTGCCAAAATGCCAAGAGCAATAATTTGTTATATTGAACTTGTAATCTTGAAACAAGTTATTTCAGATCTTCAATTAATACACACAAGTAAGTTTACCATTTTTTTCTAACTTATTATCAGTCAAATAAATTGCGCAATGCAATAATTCTTCTCATTCTTTTTATCACACACCTTGAATATAGGTGTTATAATAGATAATTATGGTAGAGGGTGAGACAGGGGAAATAGAGGGGGGGGAATGGGAATGAGGGAGGAGTGACTGAGAAGAAGGAATAGGTAGGGATGGAAAGAGGGGAGGGAGAGAGGTAAAAAAGGGAGAGGGAAAGCAAGACAGAGGAAGACAGTGATAAGGGGAGGAGGAAATAAAGGAAAGGGGGATATATATGTCATTAATTTATTTTGTCCCAATATCCACCTCAGAAATAACATTATACCCCTTTGAAGTTATTTTGAATTACACAGAAAGGGACAGATACTATACACAAGTTGAAGTGACCACAATCCAATGGAATTAGAAAACATGGGGGCAGGTTGTTAATTTTGAAGCAAGAAACCCCAGATGATTGGAGCCCCCCTTCATGGATAAAGTTCTGCTGCCACTGCTCTTAACTAATATTGTACTCCACAAACACATACCGGTACTTATCATAAACAATTTCATCTGAAGCAACAATTACAACAATCAATACTTACTGGAAATTAACTTTGTCTACTTGAAATCTGGTCTCAAATATTCCTAGTGTGAGGACTCGACAGCGTAGAATATCTTGCTCTGTGGGAGTGTAATCTGTTTGTCGCACGATGTGGACCCGGTCAAGGAAACTGGAAAGGGGACAATAAAATAAGTAATGATCCTTTACAATAATTACTGAAGATCATATTTGTCAAGTAAGTACAACAGCCTTTAGCAAACACAGGTACTGTATAAATATAAATACAGTATGCAACTCATGTACAGTAATGACAAAAATGACAAATACAGTACAGTATTATTAATTTGAAATCACCAGTAATAAAACTGTACTGAAATAAAAAATTGCCCTTCCGAATGCCGTCACAATACACATCCACAAATAATTTCTACAAATATGGAAAGTACTTCACAAACTTGTTTTATTATCTAATCTTTACATTGGCTCACCGAAGTAAACCATCTAACTGGTCTTCATTATTTCAACAATTGGAAAAAATTGCTTCGTAGAATAAAATTCAACAATTGGAAAAAATTGCTTCATAGAATAAAACAGACATAAATAGAGAATAATTTATGCTGAGTACAGTCTTAAATAACTGGAAAACAAGAATTGGTTTAGTGAGACTTAATTTATCATTTCTACCAATTACTGGCTTACTGAACTAGCCATTTGAAGGGTCAGTCTGTTCTTTGTTACAACATTCCAGTGAAGGCAATGCTTATGAGTAACTGGAATTCTCTCATAACCAGATAGATTGTGCACTTAATACAGTAATCCAGGTGAGGGAGACTAAACTGTATACAGATAATAAACAACATAAGAGAAAGTAGGAACAATAACCACAGTACATCTGACATCACTTCCTGAACACCTTTCATCTATCTATATTTTCATCAACACACATTCAATATTTTATCAGCTGTCACTACATTGTAAACATGAACAAAAATAAATAAAAAATTATTTCCATGTACATACACACAAACTATTTTAAATATTTTATTGTTCATATCCAAATTATTTTACAAAATAATGAAAAACTGGAGAACTAAGTTTAATTATAAAAAAAAAGAAATGAAGGAGAGAAAAACAAAGAGAAGACAATAAAAAAATAATCAAGGAAGAGTAATACTATATAACCTGTACAGTACTGTACAGTAAACGCACACCCTATGTGCCTGTACCTTAATAGCACGAACATGCAAGTGTAGTCTCTGAGCTAAAATTAGACACAGGTGTTAGGATATCGAAAAAACACTTGCTCACATATGTTCCTGTACCCCAACCCAGCCAGTCAACTTTTAACATAGGATAACGACTTTTACTTCAGCTATTATCATATAAAGCACTGGTCATTTCTCTCAACTTAACAACCTCTTACAAATGATACTTAAAAACATATGTGGAAATTAAATCAATAAGTGATTTGTCAATTGGCTGGACTGATATATCTTTAACTCAATTATGAATTGAGAAACAAGGGTACAGGTGCAACTGTAGAAACATGTATGAATAAAGAGATTTTAAAATGATAAATGCACACATGCATTATTCACTGTATGCTATTAGATCACATCATGTACAATACACAAAAAAAGTTGGGGCACATACTGATCAAAAGATTTAGCTATTTGGGTAAATTAAACATAAAATTATTGAATAAACTCTTTGATATACTGAGTTTGAATGATAGGACAAATGTCAAAAGGTCAGAGAGAGGTTGAAACTTAAGTTCTTTGCTTGAAACAATAAAACTCTCACCTTCTCTGATATTGGGTTAATGCATTTTAAATATATATCACTGACTGATACGCACTTACAGTACTTGTTCAACAACTGTGTTCTTTATGATGACATACCCTACCTTGGCAATATACTATACAATACACTACAGTACACAGCTATGTTCGGGCAATAAACATACAAAAAAAATAATGCGTGTTCTGATGTAAAATGCATAATATCAATATGGTACATTTTGTCTACTCGTGTTGGCTGCCTGTTGGTAGTGGAATAACAATACAGTAATTATGCAGTATGGAAACTGTATATCACACAAAAATGGTCTGAGAAAAGTACTCGGCTTACTAAAGGTTTGTTAGGCTCGTCATATGTTTGTGTTGACAATCTGCCAGACTTTACTGTTGTTATTTGGAACCTGACTGGGACATTTACTTGTACACTAGAAATTTTACATTTGATAACTAAATGTGTGATACAAAGTGTTGTTGAATATTTATCCCATATTTGGTAATGTTAGTTCACATCACTGCCCAACCAATTTAATGGTGGCTATTTTCTAATTGAATTGTCATTATCTGTTACTGTAATTTTTCTTAATATTTAAAACTATGGGCTGTCAACATTATTAACAATATACTACAGGTATTGTTGAGTGAGTATGAGAATAAAGCATCAACTCTGAAAGGTCATATGATGCAATTTTAAAATTTTAAAGGTCAGAGAAAAGATACTAGTATATGTACAGTACAGTCCTGTACAGTACTGTACAGGTATAGCATAGCAACATTACACAGTACTTAACTTCTTAAAAAAATTTGTGCAAATAAACAGAAACAAGGTCAAACTATGAGATATCCTGACAGGGGATACCTAATGAGTAAACAATGACCAGCACTGTGATGTAACTGGGCAAGTACCACCCACCTGTACAACTGTGTGTACCGTATATATACTGTATGGTTTTTTTTTTTTCTTTTGAGAGAGAGAGAGAGAGAGAGAGAGAGAGAGAGAGAGAGAGAGAGAGAGAGAGAGAGAGAGAGAGAGAGAGAGAGAGAGAGAGAGAGAGAGAGAGAGAGAGAGAGAGAGAGAGAGAGAGAGAGAGAGAGAGAGAGAGAGAGAGAGAGAGAGAGAGAGAGAGAGAGAGAGAGAGAGAGAGAGAGAGAGAGAGAGAGAGAGAGAGAGAGAGAGAGAGAGAGAGAGAGAGAGAGAGAGAGAGAGAGAGAGAGAGAGAGAGAGAGAGAGAGAGAGAGAGAGAGAGAGAGAGAGAGAGAGAGAGAGAGAGAGAGAGAGAGAGAGAGAGAGAGAGAGAGAGAGAGAGAGAGAGAGAGAGAGAGAGAGAGAGAGAGAGAGAGAGAGAGAGAGAGAGAGAGAGAGAGAGAGAGAGAGAGAGAGAGAGAGAGAGAGAGAGAGAGAGAGAGAGAGAGAGAGAGAGAGAGAGAGAGAGAGAGAGAGAGAGAGAGAGAGAGAGAGAGAGAGAGAGAGAGAGAGAGAGAGAGAGAGAGAGAGAGAGAGAGAGAGAGAGAGAGAGAGAGAGAGAGAGAGAGAGAGAGATCCAATAATTGTTATTGGAATCCTCTGATTATCTACATATCTTTAATATTACTGACTGTGGAACTAGTGGAAAAACAGAAACAACACCTACAGTGTTACAAGAAAAATTAGCAGCCAAAAGTAACATGAGACATTGCTAAATGCATACAAACCTTCATAATAATCTTATGGTTTGTGTATTTCCTTTATAACTAAAAAAGAATTGGTGTTCAAGTGATGGGATTTGATTAATGTACATTACTGTATATTACTGCTCTCACAATTCTGTTGTTGCACTGGAAGACTTCTTGCCCCCTTTCCTTACTCCCTCAAAACACAGTTTTCCACCCACTCAAAAAGGTTCTACGGTAAACCCCCAGAGACCAGAGGCAAACATGTCTACTCTATGAGATGCAATAAGGAAGATAAGCATCCCATACTTGGATAATTATGACAAAGTGAGCTACTTTTTATGAAATGCCAACAAATGTAGTCTTTTGTTGGCACTGGCACAAACCATTACAGCACTGTATCAAGCCAACAATAACCTCTCAATGACTCTTAAATCATAGAACAAAAGTGCCAAATATGGTGTAAATACATCCATAGTTTACCCTAATGTTCTTCACATTTCTGGTATCATAGGAAGTGACGGGGGTGGGGTGAAGAAAAACAATACTGTACTATATTAACCCCTTCACTATGGGGATGCTACTTTTAATATTTTATTTGTCTAACGCCAGACAATTTTATTCAGCATAGAAAGATCCTGTACACAAAGGGTTAAGAGGATGGCTGGATCAGGATGGGACACCGACAACACAGTAAGTATTGTCAAGAGTGGGCAGCTATGTGTTGCTGCAGCTACTGTACACCTGTTGCTTCTCCACCTCACATCACCCTCTAACCCATCCCCCCTTCTACATCCATCACTACACCAACACACACTCCCTTCCTCACCCAGCTTATCACCAGGGGTCAATGAAGGGTCTTTAGAACAAGAATGCACTAACCACCATATTGAGACCCATTATACCAATTTTACATAAAACATCATAAACTGTTCACTTTCATCAAATCTGCAATAAAACTTTCATCAAATCTGCAATAAAACTTCAAAAAGGAAGTACAGCTTCCTATGGACCACCCCCTAAACGAGAGGCAAGCCTCCTCTATACAGGTGCTTCATACCGGAAGCACCATCATGCCACAAAATTCTGGAATGACTCCAGCACACACTATACCATATTCCCTTTCCTACTTCAGTAATTATCACACCAAACCTTCAGTTAACAGCTTCCCCTGCACTACAAAAACTATCTTCTTCCCTGATCTTCCTGAAACAATCCCCTCTCCTATACCATCCCCATCCTCGCTCTGACAACCAAACCTCCCCCTCCATTCCCTACCGTACTGAAACCAACTCCTCCCCCTCCCCGGCACCATTATATGCACCAAGTCCCCCCCCCCTTCCCCAGCCAAACTGCTGGCGGCTAAGAAGTGCATTCATTCATCACTACCAACAACAATACCAATATTTACCGACACGTCTACACCGGAAGCGGCCAGTGTATTCAGGCGGAGGGGTGGGCACACGCTCTGGAGACTCCCTCACACCCATCCCAGCCCGGGCCAGAAGGGGAGATGCAACAGTTAAGCTATTGTCCTGTGATAAGGAGGGGGGAGAGAGACGTGGGAATAGTGGGGTTGAGATTAGTGACGTGGGGAGCGAAATGAAGGAAATAAGGATGTGCTGTGGAAGAGACAAGTCAGTGGGGAAACGGGGACGAGTCCGAGGGAGAAGAAATAAATCCATGGAGAAGGGGTGAAGAAGAGGTCATGGGGAGGGTAAGA